GATGTAATTTTAATTAATCGGAACGCGCTCTTAATTAATTAGTTTTTTTCTTTTAGTTGTAAGTGCTGTAAGTTGTTGCTCAATAAGTTCCATTTTGACTTTAGTTTGTCAAAACAAAATTGCCAATCTTCATCGTTAATATTTAAATATTATTCTCTATTGTTTAATAACTAATTTTAATTGTGCTTGTTAAGTTATTTTATGAAAGAAATGGAATATACTATATTTTGAATGGATATTTTAAATTTAAAAAAAGCTTAGGAACGCTGCGTATAAAAAAAACAAATAACAAGCTCTTGTTGTTAATGTTTACTTTCTAGTCTCTTATTATTGAACTTCAAAAAATGAAATACATAATGTGTTCAGCCCTACGCGAACCATTAATTTTTCAATAAATGTATATTTCTTGTCCAAAAAAAATGAGGATACTTAATTAGTGTAGGGTATTTAAGGAAAATTAATAAATAGTGGCGTTGATGGCATGGTAGCCGAGTAGGTAAGGCGCTTATAGATGTTTACTCGATATCGAATATCGATGGTTTGAGTCCATCTCGGAGCAAGTTAGAAATTTTATTTATAAAACAAAGAAGGTTTAGTGCCATGTCCCAAAAAAAAAAAAAAATTATGCAGCTACGGATACGTGTTTCGGAGTTATTGCCCCATCGTAGATCCAATTCCTTAGCTACGCTACGCTGATGAGGGGCAATAACTCCGAAACATGTGTCCGTAGCTGCATAATGGTTTTTTTTTTTTGGGATATGGCATTAAACCTGCTTTGTTTTATTTTGAACCCCAATAAATCTATCTTGTTTGGTTTGTATGTGCCAGGTGGAAATGAGCAGTACACATAGAGCTCTGTGTGTTGACTGTGCTCATCGAGGCCCCATTTGTGGCACATGAGAACATAAAGGCACTAATTGAATACTGTGTACTGTACTTTCCAGCCTTATTTTAGTTCTTGTTCCTGATCTATCCCATCGTAGATCCAATTCCTTAGCTACGCTACGCTGATGAGGGGCAATAACTCCGAAACACGTGTCCGTAGCTGCATAATTGTTTTTTTTTTTGGGGATATGGCACTAAACCTTCTTTGTTTTATTTTGAACACCAATAAATCTATCTTATTTTATTTATAATTTGTTTCGGATTCATATGGGAGAGAACTGTCGATGCCCTAGATGTGTTTCAGACTCCACAATAAACTGTAGTCATCTCTCTTTACTCAATACGAAATCCTAGGATTTTCTGGGAATTACTTTGGTGACTTGAGAGGCGGTTAAGAAAAGCATTTTAAGAAAACAATTTTAAGTTAGTTGATTGCCTAATTTACATATTCAAAATTTATTGGAGAATAACCTCAAACGTGCCATAAAATATATTATTTTATACACTTATCAATTGACTTTTTAAATCTGTACGCAGGGTGTTGTTATCGGCACTGTGAGCAACATTATAAATTGAGTCCGGTCATGGAATTTTTCAAAAGTGAATTATGATTTTGATTGAACTAAATGAGTGTAATATTTGTACCAAATTTTATTGAAATATTTAAAGCCATTCCAGAAATATGGTCGACTACAGTTTTAGTCAAAAACGGTTAACAATCAAGGGTAAGTTTGGGGGTGTTTTGAACTAAGCTAAATATGCTCTATCTCATATTACTCTATGTCACTTTAAATCTGGGACACCCTGTACACAAAAAAGTTTTACTCAGGCTACATTTTACCTTCTACGAATTTCATATTTAATCTACTTGATTTGCGTCGTAGGTATAGCGATAAATAGTACATTTTACCACTTCACTGAATTTCATGCCAGTCATTGTTAGTCATTTCTAAAACTATAACAGTTCCTATTGTCCAAAAGAGAGGCCAGACGACGTCACTTGAGAAATACGTATTTCACTTTTTGCGTTCTATTGTAATAGCCACAAATTAGTAATGATTACACTCAGACGTAGTCAAGAGTGAAAACTTAAGATTAATGCTTATAGTTTGTTTGCCTTTGGAAAACTTTATTCACATGAAAGTATTAAAATTTTGCATATTAAGAATAAATTATAACACTCACGTATTTTTCCACGAAACATCAAAACACTATATACTGATGATGATTAAAACTTGAGCTGAGGTTCCATCATCTCCTGATGATGCCAACTTGGTTGGCGAAACGAGCGTAGAGTGGATTATATAGTGATTGTGTTTCATGGAAAACTACGTCAGTGTTATCATCACATCAAAGGTTCCAATCCACTCCAGGAAGAAATTATAGAAGATGTTACACATATAATAATTATAGTCCAATTTCTACAATAAATGTAATTAAAATTCTTTAACTTTAAACAAAGTTATCGCGCTTACAGGAAACGATGGATTTATATACTGTCCAGTCGGCGAAGGGGGCCCGCGGATCAAGAGTGTGTATTGCCGATAAATCGCCAGCTTTCTGCCAAACGATATACTAGGAATATCTCTCCCAATGAGTAGATGCGGATGCAAACGACCACAAAAATTTGCCATGTACTAATTAATTTATTTCATTTACGCTTAATTGTGCATGGATTGCAGAAATAACATTCTTTATGAGGATCTTCTTTCCCCGACCAGACAGTACAAATATACTTGCATAGGCTTCTACTCATCATATGAAACAGATTTCTATACATAACTTTTTTTTAAAGTGCTTAATAAACTTTTTGTCAGTTTATATATACAAAAATGTTAAATATAACATTAGTCATAACTATGCAGTTTTTTGTGCATTCATAGCTTCATCTGGTGTACTACAGGGCTCTATACTTGGACCGCCTCTTTTCGTTATTTTTATCAGTAATAATGTACACAAGATTGTCAATTATTGTCTTCCACATACAGATAATTTAAAAAATTGTGACATTAATTCTGTCTGCGATTTCCCTTCAATTTCAATTCTCTTCAACTGTCCTTTGCAAGACGAAATTTTAGCATAAGATTTTTTGGAAGTGAAAAAAAATAGGAATTGTAATTTTTGTTTTTTTTGCAGGTAACCATTTTTTTTCTAAGAAGCCTGGAACAATTATTGTCGCTTATGGTGAGTGAATTTTGTTTGTCACTCCCTATGATTGTTTATAATAATAATAATTATTATTTTATTACTACATATTGAGGAAAGCAGAGGGACGAACCCTATTAAGCTCACGATTTAACTAATAATACAATCATAAATTATTACAGATGGCATATTAAATATAAATTAAATTAAAATTTTGCAAATGTAAAAACACAGAAAGACATACCGATACAAAATTATATGAATATGAGAATATATAAAATCACTAATTGTTAAGATAAAAAAAAAGAAAAATACAGTCAATGTCAATTCATGATCCTGAAAAATAATGTTTGTTTTTAACAGAGTTTATTTATGAAGCATTAACAATTACACTAGAATTCCAAAGCTTAAAGCCTCAGCTACTGATGAAAAACTGACGGTACTTTGTATTATAAGAATCATTGAGTAGTTTGAAGTTGTTTCCTCTAAATCTGTCATCCCTGTTTAAAGAAAAATTTCTACCATATCCAGGGAGAACGTATCATTTAACACACTGTTAATCAAAATGAGATCTCCTCGTGATAATCTGTTTATAGCGGTATTTAATCCGAATATGTTGCTGTCATTCCAAGATGGAAGCTGCCCCCATATGAAATATAAACGTCGCAATAAAGTTTCACTTGTACGCCCGACACCCCTCGTCCACGGAATTATTTTGATTAGGGACTCGGAATTACTACAGTCTGCTTCTCGAATTATCGTTCCTCCCTTTCTTTTCCCCTAAGAATATCATCTACCATGACCGCTATCAGATTCCATTTGTGCTTCGACTTCAACATCTCTCCTTCGCCTGGAGCATCACTCTAGCCAACCCATTTCTACACCTTGCCCAATTTTGGGCTAATCTCGAGTACTCGAGGATGGTATGGTTTGGAGTGTCGCACTCTCCACGATAGGCACACTCATCATCTCCCACACGTTCAATCCTACTTACATAGCTACGAAAGCAGCCATCTCTAGAGAGCGCCTGGGTCAGATAGTATCCACCCCTCCATGTTCTCTCTCTACCCATTTTTTCATCTGCGGTATGAACTTTCGACTCAATCGTCCCTTTCCGTCATCTATTTTTGTCTAACTATACAGACTCCCAAGTATTTTAACGGCATCTTTTGAGGCACCTTGTCTCCCAGCACGTTAAACACAATGTTAGACAGTTTGCGCCGACGCAACGACGTGTAATCTTCGGTCTTTTCACTTCCTCCTCTTCTGTTAATTCGGTCGGATCGTATATCCAATAAAAATGATTAAAACATCACTTATGCAAGATGTCAGCCAATATTCAATGAGCATATTTATGCAGATTTTATATTTTGGATTACTAAGAGTAAATATCTACATATGTGGGATGTAATATTAATGTAGAAAATAGACCAGTCATATACAGCACTGGCGTACTTTTTTATCTAAGTGAGTTCTAACTTCATTGCGTAACTGGTGACATTTGACCCATTACGTCTGCTGCTATATTATTTTACACAAAAAACAAATATTTGTTCAGTAAAGTCAAGCGAAGAAACAATATTTTTTACATCGGTTTTTTAGCACACAAAAGAAATATCTCAAGTTTACATTGACTTTTTATGTAAAATCAATGTATTTCAGATAACAAATTCTCAAATACAATGGCTATTATTGCTTAGGAAGCGTAGAAAAGATGTTTACAAGGTTGCAAATACCGATAAAAATATAATCAGACATAAATATTGACATTGACCCCAGAAAGTTCTCAATATTTTTTCTTATGAAGTTAAACCTTAACAAATAGTAACGTATTTTTAAAAAAAATCGATGAGATTGTAATTAATTGTTCCAATTAAAAATTAACTGATATAAAAAATATTTGTTACCATAATCACTTCAAAAACACATGTTCGATTTTAAAAAATTCAAATTTTAAATATACGAGTTTAGCCAGCTCGGTGGCGTAGCTGGTTGTAGCGCGCGATTACAAGATTGCCTTTCTATCTTAGCTGTGGGTTCGCATCCCACCACCGGCACTGGCAATGTCGATGGGAATTCATATTAAAAATATAATGTGTTTTATCTATAGTTGCGTAACATCTATAAAATTTCTTGATAAGACAGTATTAACTTCTTATTTGTCCACAATTTGCAAAACCATAATTAGCTATACAACAGTTCTATTTATTATGCTCGGTGAAGTAGTTCGCTAAAGAGCGTGATGGCAAATGTGACTAGATAATCTCTCTATCGTAACTGCGGGTTCGAATTCCACCACGGGTACTGGTAATGTCGTTGGGAATGATTGTGTGTCCGCGTTTTTTCTTTAATGTAACCTTCGTCCGTCTAGCTTTGGTTTTGGATTCAGGGGTTGTCTAATTTCTGTGGTGTTTATGTTATGCCCAGTATTTATCAGAGGTCTTACTTAGCGATGAAGCTATCTTTCGCAATAATAGAACAGTAAATGTGTAGTAATTGGAGTACAAACTTCGCGAAATGTAATTAACTGTTTCATTAATAAAGACGTATTATTATTACTATTTTTTCCGGTTTCCCAACGCTGGACAGTCCCCCCGTGGCCTCCGACGCCTCACAGGAGTCGCGCCAGCATATTAACCACAGCCACTCCCCACATCCCGCAGGGTTAGTGACTGTAGATTCCGGAATCGTGTGCCCTAAGCAGACGGAGAGAACCCAGAATGACCTCCTTCTACATTTGGCCTGCCAGTCACTTGGTTGATTTTTGGCAGGCCGGTATGGTCTTCAGTTCCGAGAGCAGTGTAGGCTTTATTTCTCCGACTACACCGATTATTGGGACGACCATTTTTACCAAGTAGCCTGGGTCCAGCACTTGGAGCTCGTACCAGAGATCGCGATAATTGGCCCGTTTCTCCTCCTCCTTCAAGGTGATGTTTTTCTCCGCAGGTGCCGAGAACTCGATGACATACATCACCTTAAGTTGATGGTCGAGGAGGACTAAGTCAGGCTTGTTGGCTTGAATTAGTCTGACCGTCGGTAACGAGTAGTTCCAGTAAATCCGGCATTTCTCGACAACGGACTCAATATCTCCGGGGACGTAAGGCAGCACTGGTGTCTGGTCTACCAAGTACGAGTGCCTTAGATGATAGTATAGCACTCGTAACGCCGCGTTATGTCGGTGGATGTAGGCCGAAATCGCATATATGGGGCATGCAAATAGTAAGTGCATGAGCGATTCCGGCGTCTGATGGCAGGTCCTGCAGTTGATATCAGCAACCTCTAGACGCCACACGCGGTTATGGTAGACCAAGGTGTTGGTCTTGGCAGGCCATAATGAATCATTCGGTCTCCGACTTAAGCTTGGCTGACCTTAGAAATACGAATGTCAGCCTGGTCGATAAACCCAGTGTTTCTATGTTCTTATAGAAAACACCATGCTGGGGTTTATCGACGTGCTGCCGAAACAGATTTTCTTGTTCGGCAGCTCTAATTCTGGCTTTCAGACGATTTGGCTGAAGTTTAGTGACTGACTCTACATCAGCACTTCGCCGGTCTCCTCGCCTGATGTCAAATGCGAGACCGAGTTCATGTGCTGCTCTTTTTTGCTGCCTTGAACAATCCTGCTCCCACTCCTACAGTTTAGTGATGTTTTACAAACCGCAAGAGGGGATCTGAGCTCCTGAGGATGTTACATGCCATACTCAGTACTACTCTGCCATGCGTACACTCCAGGTTCAAGAGTCCTCGGCCCTCCGTTGATGTGGGAGATACACACGAGGAACGGATGATCTATGATGAATACGTCTGTGAATATTCATCATCTTGCGGGTATCTCTGTCTAATTGTCGTAGCTCATCTACCGTCCACTTTACTACTCCAAAGGAGTAGAGCAGAATCCCAATGGCTAGCATATTAGTTGCAGACACCTTGTTCCTCCCCGAAAGTTCAGAAGACCAAATTTTTCAGAGACGTTGTACTTGCCGCGGAGAGAATCCTTTATTTGTGTGACATCCTGGATGTGCCTTTGTTGCACAGCCAGATATGTATAGGTCTCTCCGGCATCCAGATGTCTTAGGATGCTTTCGTCTGCGACCTGCGCATCTTCAGGGAATTCCCCGCATCGTCCTCTGTTGAGGTGGATGACTGCACATATATCCAACCCGAACTCCATACCAACTGCCCGCGTATATTCTTCGACCACCCTAAGAGCGTTTTGTAGTTTGCGCTCTCCGTAGGCATAAAGTTTAAGGTCATCCATATAAAATAGTTGGGTGACCTTATGTCTCCTGTCGCTGAGTGGTCCACATTAATATCCGCAGGTTTGGCGGAGCCCAACAGACAGCAGCGAGATGCAGAAGAGGAGAGGACTCAGAGAGTCACCCTGGAAAACTCCTCTCCTAAATTCCACCTGCTCTGTCGTGACCCGCTGTGCACCTGATGTTATGGTGAAGCGACTATTCCAGAGCGGCAGCAGCTGTTCTATGCATCTCACTAGTAGTGCTAGTACCGCAAGACATTCGAAGAAGTACAACAATAGCACATGCGATGTTGTATCAAATGGCTTGCGGTAATCAATCCAGGCCATCGATAGATTCCGCTTGTACTGCACAGAATCCTGTGTAATACAGCGGTCTATCAGCAGGCTGTCCTTACAACCTGCCATGCTCTTCTTGGCACCACGCTATTCATGTATCTGCTGGAAGACCGGATCAACAGTCCTCAGTGTCCTAGCAAGATATTTACACAAGATATGTGTAAATATCTTGTAGCAGGAGTTGAGGCAAGTGATCGGCCTATAATTCCTCGGGTCGGAATGATCCCCCCTTTTTGGTCCGGAATCTGCTTCCCCTCATTCAACCATGAATTGAAAACTCTCGCCAGACTGCGGTGAGTGAAAGGAAATTTCTTCCACCACCAGTAGCAGCGAAGTTCTTGGTACCGACAAGTGCTTGTTGGACTTCCTCCGCACTGATTGCCGGGCACTCTTCTTCTGGCTTTTCAAGATGTCTGTGGCACCGAGCCTCGAAGTGTGCAATTGCTGGAGTGTCGCTATTGAATGGACGCGTCGTTTCGTAGATTCCTTTCCAGAAAATTTCGACATCTTCTACAGTCGGCGGATTATCTACAACATGCTGTGGCTCTTGAAAGAGGCGAGAAGGATTCGTACGGAACAAATTTTGTTCCATACTCCTCACCTGCCTCCTCAATGTTTTCTTTATCGCCATGAGCGCTCGGATCCTATCTAGACAGTGCTGCTTGATGGTAAGCATCACTGTCAGATTTAGAGTAAGCTTGTTATCTGGCCGACTGTATCTTGCCCTCGATTTTTTGTACACGCCGCTTGGCTTTCTCGACCCCGTGATTGGTTGACCTCTCACGGGGGACGAGTTGCTTCGCGGCGTTATACACGGCACAGTTGATGATTTGCCAGACGTCTGCATCTTCTGGAAGTTCCTCATCGATGACCGCGTCCATTTTAACCAGGTCTTGTGGCTTTAGGTTAGCTGTGGTGTTAAGGCTATCCCTCGTCCTTAAGTCTACATCGATGAACTCTAAAGGATGTTCCCCATTAGCTGGTAATTGCCACGGTGGGACTGCGGCTGGCAGTTCTTCCAGCTGACGGGGTGCCTTTACGTAACTTTTCCTGAACAAGAAGGATACCTGATCTCTCAGGTGTTGTTGAGAGAGAAGATGCATTTCGCACCAAAGTGCATGCAATCGCACCATGTATCCCCTTCGCTCAGGTTCGCTACTCTCGCGGCAGGTCAGCAAGTCATCCCGAAGTTCCCTTGTCTATTTAAAGCGTCCGTGTTCATAGCCATTGTTGTCGTTGTTGAGACCATCCGGTGAGGCCTCACCCACCTGTCTCTGACCTCCCATCCGCTTGGTGCCGATCGTGAGGGGCCCTTCTCAAGTTATAGGGAACCAGAAGTAGTAGGCGTACTAGGTGGTTAACCTTGGTGCCCCCGGCTAACATTTGTCAGGCAAACTTGCCCCTGCCTGTCCAGGGTGCACCACGCGGAGGTTGCCAGTCCTTTGCACCCCTCATTATTATTATTATTATCATTATTATTATTATTATTAAATCGCCGTAACATGCAACCAATTTGAGACGGGAACGATCGGCTTTCCTTTTGTACCATTTTAATAAAAAATGAGAAAAAGTAGATTTAGCGTTTCCTGACTCATTCGGTATGAAATGGTCGATTTCCTTAGATTTGATAGCAATCGCATAAACTAAAGGTTTTTTGACAATGTTTGGCACAAACTGCATCTCAAATTGCTGTTCTGAGACATCACATTAAGTTTACAAATGTGACACATCTTTTGGTGAACACACTCGTATTATGATACGATCCATAGCATACCCATCAAATGGCATATCGTTTGAATCATCTTTAAAGAGAGAATCCAACTATCTAACAATATACCAAATGTTCCATTAAATAAACATGTTTATGACATGCCTAAATGGATCGCCCTATATATTTCAAAATATTTTGAACTATACAACTTTCTGCCCTTTACCATTCCGTTTTTGAAATTTTTTCAATATCTTTTATAAGATATTTGAAAAGTACGAGGCTGAGACGCTGTATGTACGAGGTCGCAATGTAGCAAAGTATCTTAAATTTTCTTTAAATGTATTATTCTCTGCATAGGAATAATGAAATATAGGTAAGTCGTTATGGTCTTACCTGTTCGATGTTCAGTATTTGTTTAGCTGACCTTAAACTTTGTATTTCTCTAAACCAATTTTAGAATTACAATACTGATGTTATTGACTGTTATATTCTTAGCTCAGGCAGAATATGATATCTCGGGCAAATTTAGTAGAAGGATAATTTATGGAGGACATCATCTTCATATCGTTTGTGACTGATAACAGCAAAATTCCATGGTGCCCGTCAGGTGTGCTTTACGAGTAAAACAACCCATCAAAGTAAATTTTTGAGGGTTTTCACCTACTTATAATTAAGAAACCTATAATATCAACGAACTATCAAGAAAGACAAAAATAATTGTACTGAAATCGAAATTAAATTTTTTACTAATA